AAATTTCAAAGATTCAGAAACCTCTTGAAATACTCTTCCTTCTCTCAGGCCATAAGAGATTTATGAGCATATGAAGCCAAGCAAAAATCATATTTAGCACTAAGTGAAGCACCACAGTTATTTCAGCTGAACTACATTGTAACGTTAGTCAAATCGCAAGCTCAGAGCAGAGATGCTGGGCATCATGCCTCAGGTGCTGAAACAAACCCAAAATGAACGGAGCTGTGTGTGAGCTGACACACTCACATTTTCCTCATCTCTCAGACTTTCTTCTACAGCAGTATTTATTTCCTTACAGCCATCCTCTTAGTCAATTTTGATTTCAGGACTAGATTCAGCTCTAATTTCAGGCGTCTTTTATCTCAGCTCCCCACCCATAGCTTCCTTTAAGGTCAGTAAAAGCTGTCAGGCACTTCCTGGTGCAATTCTTCCCACCAGTTTTGGAGGCTTCCATGAAGCTGAGGTCGGTCATGCCCTATAATTGCTCTTACTGTAAACAGAAGTCAACTCAGAGGAAGAGGCCCACACTGTAAAGATTTGTATCAGTTGAATCTCATTCCACTTGGTTGTCAAGAAACTCTGCCTAGTTGAAGAAAAGTGAAGATGTTGTAACATCACATAGTCCATCACATCTGAAGACCTCTCCTTCCATTCAAGTCTAAAGGAAATGTTGACAATTGTTTATCTGCACATTGTGCAATGTTATTGTTTATTTTTTTCTAATTATTTGAATTTGAAATACTAGCAAAGCAAATTTCCAACTGTTGAGTCCGAATGTAATCAACACACCAAAGAGCTCCTGCTCTAAGCTCCATTTCTATAAAGACCTTTGCTTCCTAAAATCATCATGAAAATTATAGTGGCCTTTAAAAGGAAGAATTCATGCAAAGCATCCCACAGTGTTCTTTAAGAGAAAGGCCAAGGGCAGCCTAAGAAGAAAGCAAGGTTAAGATTCAATCAGCTAGCAAAGACTGTGTTTCAGTTTTGATTGTCAGATGAGAAGAAAGGGCAGGACTCATTTATTTAGTCCGCCCCTTGGTTTAAGCAGCAATATGACAAGTTATGCAAAGGGGAACAGTTCATTCTCATAAAGATGCATCTTGGAAGAGCTCATCTGTGACATTTTAGTCTTGAAGGAAAGGGAAGGAGGGCCAGAAAGGTTACATGTCTTGACTACATAAACGCCTCTTTGGCTGTTTAATGGAGCAGCAGAAGCACTTGGCACAAAGGCAACTGTGTACTTCACCTTCTCAGCTGGAGGAACAGCCCACGGTCACTGTCATCATGGAGCACAACGGCTTATTAAAGGAATAAAGGCAAAACTCTACGTGATTTCCAGAATGAAGGGGCAGGAAATCCTCATGACCTTGTCAAGGCTTTACTGATCTTAATGGGCCTGCCACAGAGAACAGCTCTGCTTGAAAAGCAAAGGGGTGCTGCTCCTGAAGGAAGAGTTCAAAAACACTGGCTCAGAAACATTAATAAAAATATTTCCCACTGTTTCTTCATCAGAGCTTAAAAGTAACAGCATATTGCAGAGCACAGTACCAAAATCTGTATGCTGAGATCATAAAATACATATATGTTCCCTTCTAGAAACTAGTAACTGAAAATTTATTTTGGAATGGATGAATTTGTTGAGATAACCTGCTCCTGGTATGAACAGTCTCTATAAGGAGGGCTCAGTGCTTATTTCTAAGCTCCTAGAATATGGTACCGATGAACAAACTTAGATTAATCACCAAGGAAAATCACCAAGAAAGTAATGCGCCTTTTGTTAAATATTAATTATATTTAATTTTTCCCCGTCATAGAATTTACAAGGTTCTCATGAATCGAAGATTAATTCAGGAGGTTTTATTTATCCTCTGCTGTGAATGGATCCCTTTTCAGTGGAAAGTGAATGAGCTTATTCTGTGTCAGCTTTCTGCTTGAAAAGAAAGCCCGTCGTAAAAGAACTAGCAATCTTCGTCAGAGAAATCCAGACAGGGTGAAACGTTTCATTGTTCAAGCTGTTAGATGCTAATGAGTTCTGCATCTAGATATTTGTGATTTTTTTTTTAACCTCATCCAGCAGTAGCATTGCCGCTTATGCATTTAAATGTACAGGACTTGTTTGGGAAGATTTGTATTAAAGAAAGCATCATGTTCCCTAGTTTTAGTATAACATCTGTTATTATCATTCAGTACTCCTCTTAGCCCAGCAAGCCCTTCCTCTAAATATCTTATTAATTAAACTGGCTTAGTAAGGCAAATAATTAATACTTCAAGTCCTGTACTTAGAAAGGATTTGGAAACTGAAAAAATTGTTTCATCCTGAGCTTCAAATAGGATCGTTTTTTTTGTCTTTCCTGAGCAGAAGCTGATTAAAGCGCAACGGGGAGTATATGAAGAAACCTATGTATATACATTCTTCCGAAATGTATATAGTCCATCTTCAAAATTCTCTTAGACTGCAAAAATAGTCTGTGAATTTGAAAACTCTTGCTCTGCACTTGGGTGTCTGTCTCAGTGTTGTTTTGGGGAAGGTACTCCTATCCTCCTTCAGAGTATCCTGCTAGCCTGGTTTAGTGCTCAGCCCCTAGAAGTATTAACTTCAAGCCACAGAACTACTGTATTTCTTGCCACTACTTTAATAATGTGGGAATTGCTAGCCATGAAGTAGGTAGCCCTCTTACTACCTTATGCTGTTGACTAGATAAGAGGGTGAGAGAGCGAACCCGTGTGGGTGTCAGTAAGTGTGTAAAATGGGCAGGCACGATCCTATTCTCAGTGGTTGCCTTGCATGACGTAAGCCGCACACTTAATGGGGGCAGTAAATTTTTCAGCCTTTGTCTCTCGGTTAACCTGCGTATGGTAAACGAAAGGCCAACGTGTTATATGGAAATCTATCTATCCATGCACGGCTTAAGGTTTATTCCTGTGGCCATGTGGTTGGATTTGTATATAAAATGTGGAACTGTTACTTAGCTATTTAAGATAAAGTATTGAAGTAGCAATATTTACCTGTGACCTTTTTTGTGAACAGTGCTGCTGCCTACAAGAAGAAGCCGTTACTTTGCTGCTGTTTCATCCGACTTGATTTCCTTATGAACAACACATTCGGCCAGACCGAACGCTGTTCACTATTTACACTAATGGAAATTACAGCTTCTCAGAGCTATTGCGCAAGGCCAAATTACTCTTTAAAGCCAGGGAGGGTCTTAACAATTTCTCTGGCGAGAGAGAGCTCAAGAGTTAACGGTAGCTTGCTTAGGTTTTTTGAAGGGGGCAAGGGGGGCTATTTTTACAGAAGACAGTGAAAAGCTTTAAGTGCCATACCGGACACAAGGCCACCTAGACTCAAGTAAAACGTAGACTGGGGAACAGTCTGCAAAGTGGCTCTGGATTCAGACTGCGGTGTCTTTCAAAAAAGCATATTAGAAACTCAGAAATCTAAGTTTCATTAAAAGTCTGCGAGGCGCCTAATACACTTCTTCAAAATGGGGCTAAGGCATTTTTGAAAAATGCTGTGCCTGTTAACAGCAAAGGCTGCTATGTTAAGGGCCATGGAAATAAAACTGTACAATGTGACTGGCTAACAGGTTTGAGGCCTTTTCCCTCAGCAAAGAGACCGACCATTAAAATCCTAAATTGAACCTGAAGCTCAGAGATTGTATCCAGGCGAAAGCGTGTTTTTTGTTAGCAGCTGACTGGAGCTGTTGGCGTTCGCCGTCCTGAGGAATGCCTGCTCCCAACTGGCTTTCAAAATGGGCAGGCATAAATTTAGCCCATGAAGAAGAGCTCTGCTTGTAGCAGAGTTAGGCTGGCCTTGCGCATGCTAAGCAGGGTGTATCTGACAGCAAGCAGGTTGTGATGAATGCAGTGTGTCTGTACAGAGGTGGCTCATTCACCAAGTATCTTGTACCCCAAGGGGAAGCGCGGGCACGCAGCGGTGCCAGAAACGGCGCCATTCACATGTTTTCAGTGAAGGAGAAAGCATTTTGGAGCCTCTTTTGCTTTAAAAGTGCCTTGGGCAGGCTGGACTTCCTAAGTCCCAGGCCGTCTGTGTGTGTGCGCACGCTGCGCCTGATGGGGAGCATATGGCCAAAGCGATTTGCCCTAGACTCTGCCTCTTTTTTGGCAGGCACAGGCTTGTTTCGCACAGAGCACGCACGGTCACAGCCGCTCCGGCACATCACTTTTTGTGCCCCTCGCTTGCTGTCTTTCACATATTGGCCTGAATGCCTGTCGTTTGTGGTGTTTTGGTTAATTGGACGTTGTTTTAATTACTGTGGAACTGCACAAACGGGGAATTTCTGTCTGTCGTTTTGCCGCTCCAGTGACCGCCGTCTCCAGGCAGCCAGTACAGGACTCGGGCAGTTCGGACCTGGTGTAAATTACAGTGGCCCTCGTGGACTTTCCCTCACTCACCTCATCGCCTTTCTTTGGGGAAACATCCCACAGGGAGGAGAAGACTCTGTTAAACCGATATTTTTTGCACTGTCCCAAACATCTTGCTCTGCTCTCACAGATTTTAGTGACAAACAGCCATTGCCTTCAGGCCCAAAGGAGGTACCGGTTGTCTTCTGTGGCATGGAGGCAATTTGAGACCACGTCTTTCAAGAGCAGTAATCTTTCACGTCCCCTTCTTTCTTACCTTTCCTTCTCTAGCTTGTACATTAACTACTTTTTCTCCTTTCACTGTCTCTCATTCTCCACAGAAATTCTTGGGTCACGTGTGCAAATTAAGCAGTAGGAATACAGACATACACTCGCATAGGTCAGTCTATATCCCTTTGCATAGGTAACAGCCATGCTACCACAGCAAGCAGAACTGTATGGAAGGCCAATAGCCTTTATTTTCAGACCCTAATTTACTACTGAGGGTAATAAGAGAAAAAAGAAATTTATACTTTAAAAAGGTTTTTTTTTAATGCTTTAAAAGGCATGCAGCCTTTTAAAAATGATCATTTCCTTTTTTTTTTTCATTTTTATTGACCCTTTTCCTTTGATTACAGCTTTGGAAAGAAAGATATCAATGAGGCAAAGCAGAGAGGAGCTTATAAAACGAGGAGTGCTGAAGGAAATCTTTGATAAAGGTAAGCATTCTTATTTTCACAGCATTAAATTGGCATTCCATATAGTTTTATGGCCACATCGTACATTATAGTAACATTAGGAACTTGTTGTACATTTCTGAATTGCAAGACCATACAGAATAAGGTCTCTAAACATCTCCCTTGGTTTTACTTTGGGTTGACCCTCACATTTGGGTAAATAGGATAGTTACCTAGTAAACAAAACTGAAAGCTGAACAGAAGCATAAAGCAGTAGAAAAGCTGAACAGAAGCATAAAGCAGTAGAAATATAAATGAAAGCAATGTGCAGTAGTCGCTGCAAAAAAAGCAAATCTTCCAGACTGAGGGAAAATTGAATGGGTTGCTATCTGCCTTTGCTATCATTCTTCTAGTTGAGTCACTGTGGGATTAACTACTGTGGAAAAGGGACATGTTTTAAAAGATTAGATACTGTGATGAGCACAGAACACATTCCCTTGAAACAGCTCAAAGCCCATAATAAAGATTTCTTGTTCAGGATAAATAATTGGTTGAGTTGCTAATATATTATTTATGCAAAACATCATTGTTTTACATCTGTAAAGCAATAAATATTTGACATGTGTCAATCTTTACCACAGCTTTTATTTATTTTGCAGCTTCTTTTGTCAATAACTACGGCAACGAACTCAGCAAACTGTGTAAAGATATGCCAGACTTGTCTTTTAAGTTCAGTAGAACTTAGGCGTGTGCATAAATGCATCATTAATTCAAAGTCTAAAAGTCTTTAACAACACAGGTACAAAACCTGTTAGAAGTCAAAAGAAGTTATGAACTTGCACAGACTGTAGAAGTAGAGCGTGCCTCATAAAGTCTTGACCCTTTAAATCTGCTACATGCTTTTTTGGTCTAACTCATTGAGAGAGGAGCTCACCAAAACTATTTAATTTTTTAATTGAAAAAAAAATTAAGAAACATTGCAAAACCAAATAAATCTGCTGCTTGGCATTATATTGTATTTTTTTTTTGCCCCTTGCATATTTTAGATATGCCTCTTACTCCTTTATGTCTAACACTACTTGTGCTCTCACTATGGCTTTCTACCTTTGGAGGCATGGAAAGGTGCAGCAAAGGTGCAGCTTCACAGTGGAAACAACTACTGGCAAAAGATTTGCCATTCTTTTTCTCACTGCTTCAGATATTACATGTTCTCGACTGTGACTTGTACCAAACGCACAGCCATGAAATAGGCATCCCTGTGGTGGATGACAGACAGCACAGGCTGTCACACCCATGTATGTCGCTGCCCAGGGGAGCCCCAGAGGTAGCTGGCAGCTCAGCCGTCTCTGTAGGTACCAGAGTCCCCTGTGGCACTCTGAAGCCGGCCTTGTCCCATGGGAGCGCCACCTCCATCCGGAGTGCGACCTCCAGCATCCTGGCCTTGTGTCCCAAAGGGATCTGCTTCCGACCCATCCCTATGCACACATAAAGGCAGCATGGAGCAAAATCCCTCCCAGGCAGCCCTTCCCTGCCCTTCGTCATGAAGGCTGGGGAAATTTTCCAATACTAAAGTGCTGCAGACTTGTCCCAGAGAATGAACTGCTGATCACTGCACTGTGTGCACGGGTGGAATTGGTGAGCATGGCAGAGCTCAGGGATATCTAAGGTTCGCACAGTCTGCTTCCTGACCCTTTTCGTTTGGCTGTGATCCTCTTTCCCAGCAATTCTCAGCAATTCGCTTTTTGAAATGTTAACCTTTTTATAGATTCCTAAGTTGATCTTTTATTTTTTTCTCCAAAATGAAGCAGTGGGTCTCAAATAAAAGCACTATATTTTCATTTTACAGAAAGTCTTTTGAGAGCATAGTGTGGGATTTGACTAAAAAGACTGAACAGTTGCCTGAACAGAGCTTTCTAATATCTCAGCTGATGAATTCATTCTCTATTTTCAATTTTATTTTCACGTGAAGAAAGGACATTGAGGAAGAAAAACAAGCGCAGTCTACATCTAAACAACGTGACAGGATTGGGGTGTTTTTAGTCATAAGATCTTTCAGGTCAGGGACCCTGCCAGAAGGCTACTGCTGATCCCTTCTAACCTGCCCACTCTGATTTCCATCACTTTTGGAAATCTGTAAGCATAAGACTAAGAAATAAAAATCTGTGGTATTCAAACTTCTCAAGGATTTCAGCTAGGTGCTTGTTTTCTTGGCTGCTTGCATCCTCCACCTGTCAAATAATGCTGTAGTTTATAATCTTCTGTGTCACCTTGTGAAGTAGATGCTAAGTTGTCTGTAGATCCTCATCTAAAAAAAACTTCTAAAAATCCATTCCTTCTTTGTAGTTATTTTTCGTCTTTTCATATCAGAAAGAGCTGGCCTGGTATACTTCCTTCTTCTCCCTATTTCCAGTGCAAAAAGCAAAGACATTGGGCTTTATTGTCAAGTGCCACTAAAAGGAAAACTATGACCCAAAGCAGTTGGACTTCTTATCCCCACATTATTTCTGCTGATTGCAAAAACAGGAAGGTAAGAATTGGAACCCCTCCTCGAAAAAAAGAAGTAGGGCAGAAGAGAAAGTGCTGGTACACAAGTAGTGATGATGTACCTTTGGCAAGATGTACCTAAGGCAAGATTTCTAGAACAAAAGGAGAACTTCATTGGACCAGCTGGCATAATAATCCAAGAGTAGTTCTGATAAGGGGTATTATATCTCACAGCAAACGTTAATTGGAAATAACATTTTCCATGTATTTCTCGTTGTTAAGTAACTTTCCTCTAATCCTACAAGGAAACATAGTAGACATTAACTCTTCATGGAAGAAGGCTTTATTTGATGAGGGTAGCACCTCCCATGCCAAGAGGCATCTTGCACAGAAAATATGTGGAGGCGTAATGTTAAATCTGTGTCTATCTTTTGTAAGAGGAGGACAAAGTAAACAGAATCAGTGCATGAGTGAGTAATTTTGCCTTCTCCTTTCTTAAAAAATTGTTCCAAATCAAAGTAAAATTAATATGGACAGATAGACCCCAACCCAAAAGTTCTGGGGCTGCAGTGTGCATAGTACTGTTTTTATATTATCCATGATGAAATAAAAAAAGGCTAGAGAGCTAGTTCCTGCTCCATGTTTAAAATGGCATGTTTGCTTCAGTGTTTGCTGACTTCTCAGATGACTTTATGTTGTCCAGCAAGTGAAAGTTAGCAGAGCACTGTAAGTCACAGTGTTCACACATGGGAGAGTCACTGAAGTCCAGCTGCTATATTTGGGAAACAAGGAACACTTTTATCACCTCCCATTGCTTAAACTATTCAAGTGAAACCACTACAGACTGAGCTGCAGAGAACGCACTTCTTGCCAGACTAGCGGCCTAATAAGTTTCTGCTATTTTCTTTTTCAAGGGTTCTGTGACTTGAGTCTTATGAAAATATAAGCAACGGTTATATTTTTTGCAAATAGTACTTTTGGAAAAATAGTATGTTGAAAAAGTATCTGATTAGATGCCTGCTATTCTGATAATTTGTGGGCAGGCAATGTGAATAGGTTAAAAACATAACTTCCATCTGCAATGCAGAACGTACCATAGCACTTTGAAGAACTCACACTTCTCCTAATCATTGACCGTACATCTTTAAATTATTTCTCCAGCTACGTGCATAGATGTGATTCTCCTCCACTGTCTTGCAGTCTGTGTGAGGAGCTGCAAAATGCTATCAAATACAATTCTTCCAATGGTATAAATTTATACCCCCCCTTTCTCTCACACTGCTTGGGTAGAGAGTTGCTTGACAGGTAACTAGAGATCCATTCCTATATATCCAAGAGGCAGACGCATCTACAGAGTGTTGTTGATCCTTCTACAGAATGGTCCTCTTTAAGTGACGGTAAATATATACTCACATTCTTATTATTCCTCAGCTTCTTATGTAGTTTTAGCTGAAAGTAAAGATGCCTTCTTGAGCAACCACATTTGCATTTCACTGTGTGAACTCCCCCAGGAGCTGGGTTGAAGTCAACAAATATGACTCTAACTTATTAGTTAGGCACATTTCAAAAGTTTTTGTTTGGGTAAGCATCCAAAATATCAGCACTTAGATGAACCGCTTTGTTTTCCACATGAAAAGCAAGCTGCAACCATACCAAAAGCATCTGTCTTGAGAGCTGTTCACTTTTCGGTGGTACTGGTCGTAGAACTAAACCTAATCATAATATTTTTATGCCTTTTCTTTTATCTGAACATAGATGAGATGATAGTAAGCAATTTCTGAATATGAGTGTGCTGATTGCTTGCTTCAGAGATGATGACACAATGGTTCTTCAAGGAAGCATGGACAGTCTTTACCTGTATGAACTCGGTATTTTTCTGTTGTCTATCTAATCAAAATGAGGGTTTAGGCCCAAGTTTCAGGTTGCATCCTTAAATCCTATCAGGATTTGGAAATGTTTGGTGAGTAATGTACTCGCAGAGCGGAAATGCTGCACTTCTGTGCTAGGGCAGGTTGTGGTGCATAGGGCAGGTAGGTGGGCATCTGTTTGGTGCAAAGCAAAGTAATGCAGTGAGGAAGAAGGCATGGTAGCCACCAGGGAACCAGTTGTGCTGCAGCACAATGCTATGCCGTAGTGCTTTGAACTCCTCCAGAAGCAGGGAAGATATCCATAGGCCAGCCTGTCTGAAAGTCCACAGGACACCACAAAACCGGGGGTTCTGCTTAGAGACTGAAATAATGAAAAAGCCTGGCTGCTGTGCTAACATAGCCGCCGGGGCTAGGAAACAGCCCTGGGCACGTCTTCACCACGTTCAAGAGCGCTCTGTTTCCCATCCCTCAGCCCATGAGGGCTATGGCAGAGAAGCACATGGGTGTGTCCTGCCTTTCCTATCCTTTGCCAGTGAGAATATTTGCTTGGACATTACATGAGAACAAGTGGATACTGAGGGGGACAACCCAAAGTGGTAAATAACCTAGAACTGAGAATTCTCCTTATAATTTTGATTTCCTTAGCCATTTGCCTATGGGAGGAGCACGTGAGCTTCTTCAAACGTACAAGAAGTTTCCTACTCCAAGATGTTCGGAGTCAAAGGACACAGTTAGGGGGTAGGCAGAGCTCTAAGGGCTCTAAGGAACAGGGCTCTAAGGAACAACAAAAGGGCTGGTTTGTGCCAGTCAACATAATACATTTGCGGGCTGCTCCACAGGAGTGAATTTTCAGAAAGTACCTGAAAGTGGAAATGGCAAGCACTTAGCAAATGAGTTGAGAAGTACAAACCATGCTTAGGGGCCACGTCTTTTGAACGTCTACTCGTCACCTACTCATTTCTGGGCTTTCCTGCCATGCTGTTGTTTTCACATGCTAAGGTGAATCAAAAGTGTCTAGGTAGTGCCTTCTGCATTAAGGAGTTTCCTCTCAAGTTCTTTTTCTTTAATGAGTTTAGGTATGCTGTGCCTCCTGATTAACAGAACAACAACCTTCAAGTGCTCCCCTTGTTGCAGAGTTCAAGTTATTCTCTTTAGTCCCATCCAGATCAAGCTGATGCACACTCAGCCTGCATTGTCAAAGCTCATACAATTAGGGAAAGTCATTCTCTGTGAAGCAACAGCAGGCTCTATGAAAACATAGCAAAGGATTTAGTAAATGTGAGAACAAAATATTATGTATATATATATTATCATTATGCCAAAATTAACTTTAAAGTCATACTCAGTTCCTGAAGACTAATCAATTTATCTATATATAATGCATAACTGCATTACTAGGATCCTTTTCATTTGTATTTCAGCTAACCAGAATAGCTTTTTGTAGCTTAAAAATAATAAGTAACTTCATTGTCAAGCATGCCTCTGAGCCAGGATTAATTCACGCTAAGAGATTCTTCACTCTACAAGTGATGACTGTATCCACATCTTTGATTTGTTTGCTGTGCTCTAGCAGCTCCTTACGTTGCTCTTCTTTAAATAAGATCAGATTTAGGGTACATAATTCAGTCATGGTTGTGTGTCATGTCTGATGATTTCAGTCGAATCCAAGGATGAGTTTTCGAATCTAAATGAAGATTAGAGCTATTCAGAGGGAAGATTAAAAGAGGTTATACTGTCCGTACAGAGAGCTATTGTGCCTATTATTATGACAAAAAGTAAAAAAAATTTATCTCACATTTTACTATTTTGCAATAATACACTTTCAACAGAGTATGTGAATGCTATCTTCTTAAATCATACTGGGTATACCTTGAGAAGTGCAAAGCTGTTTAAGATAGTAAGATTTGAAGGTGCTCAGCATCTTGGGATTGGCATCCCACTTCATTAAAAATGTGTAGATATCCCTCAAACAAATCAATGTTACTGATTTTATCATGCATACTTCTTGTTTGCTCTCAGTTATGGTCAAATTTTGCCCCATATTGAATTACCAGATAGTGCGACTTTCATTCAGGGCAACTGTAAGAGACAGTTATGCTCTTTCCTGAAACCAGGTGATTGAGACAAAAGCAGCCTCTATCCCAAATTGAGGTAAAGGTGTGTGCTTACAGAACAGAGACAGAGCAATCACAGGGATACAGATTCTCCACCAAAAGAGTTAACTCAAAGAACATTCAGCTTAATATTCGCTGAACTGTTGTTTGATTTTTGCTGTCTAGGGAAACACAGTGGTTTGCATCGAACGACCACAGCAGTTAGAATGAGGCTGCGCTGTTAAGAATTGCCTGAGACCTTCAACTTTGATTAATGTTGCCACCTTTTGCCAGCTCAGTTGATTGCTGTGAAAGCTGCAGTTCGCATTTCAGTCTATTACGATAGAACTGTGTACCATAACAGCTCTCTAGTTGTCCAAAAACCCTCCAACAAAAACAAGAGAGTCAAGACCTTGATATTTCTAATAATTCCGAATTAAATGGAAGACCATCTTCTCTCATTGTAAAGGAGCTTTAGAAGGCAGAAATAGAATAGTTATCAGCTAATGTACCTTCAGACTTTCTAATTGCCTTGTCCTGAGGCCTAAGTGAGACATAAATTTTTTGTCTTTTCAGTATTGTTTTCCAAAGTGTTATGCACAGCTAAGCCCCGTGAGAGGAAAATATTCACTGACTTGAATGATGTATATCTCTGGTACATTGAGCAGTAACATGGCTAATTACAGATGCCCAAAAATCAAGAGCCAGATCCTGAAATCCTGAGTTTGGCTTCAAAAAATAATCTAAATGCATAATAAAGGCTCTCTTTATTTGCCTGCTGGTTTTTAACCTTAATGGTCACATTCCAGTTATATTTTCAGGCTCCTATCCACAACCATAAGGGCTGAACACTTTGTTTTATAAAACTGTAATTGAGATATCCATGTAGTCATTGCCTCTAGGTACCAGAGTGCTGTGCATAACAAGCTTTGAGATAAAAATCATGAGGGCTGACACGATGGAGAATGATATGAGCTCTCCCTTCTGTTCCTGATTATTTCTAATGTGAAGTAGTGTTTGATAGGAAAGAAACTAACAGTTACCATTACAGAAATTTTTTGCTCAGATAGAAGAGATTTGTTCAGGATTTTACAGACAGACTTTCTAAATGGAATCTGCTATATACTAATCGGAAGACCTTATACCAGTTGATTATGAACATTATTCTCTCCCCTTACTTAAACTCTTGGTCATGCTGGGAGCTGTAATGGTTTTGCTGGTGTCTGAAATAGGGATATTCTTCTGTGACTTTTCTTATGTCTCATAGCATAAAAATTGGTGTAAGGGAAGAGAATAACTCAGATGTTCCATGGCTTCAGTTCCAGCCTGTTCTCCTTCCTGATTTCCCAACTTTAGCTAAAGGCTAGGGCAAATAGATTTTGTGGTTCTATGAGATGGAGGAGGATCAGGAATCTTTCAATTAGATCATGGATCATAATGACTATGCTAGGATAAGCCAAAGATTAATACAGGTTTTTGGCAGTTCTTTCTAAAGTCTTGATAACCCTTTTAAAGGAAGTGAAATGCTGTCAGACTTCTGTGATACTGTTGTGGACAGAACATCACAATCAGGCATCTCTAGAAATTGCTCTGCATAACTTCTCTTATTGAGGTATGAACTACACAGTTTTTATCCTTATCACTGCATCTTCTGTACATAGATATGTGCTCTCAGTTCAGGTTCCTGGTTCACAAGCAACCTAAGAAAGATAGTAGATTTCATCTTAAAATCTTGGTACATCTTATTTATGTCTTCTGTTGTCCTTGTGCTTTCCTCCAAATACGAACAGATGGGGAACTTTCCATACCAAATGAAGAAGGAGCTTTGGAGAATGGGCAGCCTCTGGGCTCCGGGCAAGTGCTGAGCTCCAGCCAGGTATCCCTGCCAGCCCTAGCAGAACTGGAGTCAGGTTCAGCATCTGGGGAACCCTGCTCATATGAGGTGCTCCCAACCACAGAGATCATGGATGGGGCAGGTAATGTCTTGTTTTCATTACGATGTAGATATTTTATGCTATTTGAAACAAGTTTTTAACCTCTAACATTTGATGTCTATCCTTGAGAAATCCGTGTTGAAGACCAGGGTCTTCGGATGGAAAAGGAGATGACAGCATACAAATTACCATTGGATGCTCCACAAGAAATTTTGACTGCCTCTGCATAGAAATCACGTCCAGGCCCAGGGAATAAGGCGAAGTCCCTGCATTTTGTGAACATTTCAGAACAGATTTCTATGCTGTTACTTCTCAGCTATGCCAACGAGTTCTAGAGCAGGGTGCTGACAATATTTTTAAAGCCTCGGGTACAAAAGCATGCCTTTACCTACTGCACAGTACACAACTTCCAGTAGCTAACACAGCTGGCTAGCTGCGCTACCCGAGGCAGGGCTCCCTGCCTGTCGCCTGCAGGCAGTGCAGAGAGGGAAGGGCACTGCTCTCAGCAATAATGCTAATCGTCTAGGTTAGCTTCTGTTCCGCATCTCTTAAAGCTGGAGTTGTGGAGGAGGGTCCAGTGAGGAAAAACGAAGAGAATTGACAGGTCGGTGCTCATCCACGATCCTGCACAGCTGTGCACGCAGCCTCTAGGAAATGGAATAAACCCCGTGAGGTGCTGTCACAGTTATGGAAGGATAAATTTAGAGACCACTTGCTAATATATCTGTTACTGAGCAAACTGTGGTGACAGACAGTCTGAGCTGTGACATTTTAAGGCTCTTGATTTGTGTTCAAGATGTGGGAATACATCCCAGCCTGGCATAAGGGAACTGAGTTCTGTCAGAGGTAATGGGAAATCCAGTCTGTTGTGTAGATGTGTGTTACTTTCTCTCTCCCTTTTTCTCTCTTTCTTTCTCTCCTTTTTTCTATGTTTTATGAAGTTTGAGTGAAATCTATTAGTCGTTTTTAATCTGTATTGCTGCGCTGCTTTTCGTGTCTTACTATGGCTGTATCCGCTGCTGCTTTGCTTGTAACGTTGTTGCGTCTATGATGTGGTTGTGTCCTCCAGTGTCTGAAGAGAGCCCCACATCCAATGAGCCTGGCGTCCTCCTGTCCCAAGATCCTACAGCTAAACCAGTCCTGCTACTTCCCCCCAAAAAATCTGCTGCTTTCCCTGGAGACCATGAGGACACCCCAGTGAAACAGTTGTCCCTCCTCAAACAGCCCCCTGCCCTGCCTCCTAAACCTATTGCCAGGATTGCCAGCCACTTAACTGGTAAGTAGGTGTTCCCGGACCCTCAGCACCACCGTTTCCCTTATAGGAAAAATCTGCCCTTATAGCAAGGTTCTCAGTGTCCTTCTTCTGTAAAGCTGTTTGCACTTGTCATTGTGTGTACTGATAACGTATATGTGTTGTACCTAGGGCAGGTATTTTGTTGTACTATATTTGTTGTACGTAGGGCAAAGCATTTTCATCCTCTACCTTCATCAAGGTTGCTTCAAGGGGCTTCTCCTCGCAATGGTAGTTGCCTGATACTGCCACTGCATTTCCTAACCCTCCTCACTCTTTCTCATCAAGATGTGCCATCCCTGAAAAAAACTGCAGGATGTGCTTTGATTTGAAAGGAGACATCGGGAGACTACTAGAATATCTTTAACGACATTTAGTAAGAAGAGAGAAGTGAGTTGGAGGGGGGAGAATTTGGCTCATTTATTTTGCTCTTTGTTGCTTCTCCACAGGTCCCCCTGCACACAATCAACGTCCTTCCATATGTTTCTCTTTTACTGATCCTTACATAGGCCGTTCTGTCTCATGGCTTCTTGCCTTTCTGCTTCCCTGCTTCTACTGCCTGCTAACCTGCTCCCTCTTTCCACCCCTTCTCTGGGTGTGCTCCACGCAGTGTGTGCCCCATCACCCTGCTGATGATGGGCAGCTCCACTTCCCCTCGTGACCGGGATTTTGGCATCCCTGAGGAATGCTGCAGTTTCTCTCTCACTCTGTGGCAGCTAGCAGTAGTAGGCAATACAGACTCCTTGTTCTCATCCAGCAATTTTTTACAAGTGTCCAGGCTCCTCTTTGGGATTCAAAGCTCTAGATACCTGTGGAAGGATGACTGGTGAGTCTCCTCTCTCCAGTCTGTCACCAAGGCCACTGAAGCAAAGGATGATTGCATTTGCGCAGACCAAAAAGGGTTCCCTAAATACTTTGTCTGCATCTTTTGAGCAGTCTACTTGTAATTACAGCTGCTGCCCAGGAGGCAGCACCTCACACTCCCAAGTTCAAGAGTAGGTGTGGTGCAGCTCTGACTGTACTGGGGCAGCTCACACTCTGGGTTGCTCTTCTGGTGTTAATGCTGCCCTGGTTTCTTCAGCACTGATGTGAGAGCTGTTCAGTCTACATTAGTACGTGCTAGATATTATTATTTTCCTATCAGTTAATACCTGTCTCAGTTAAGATATAACTTAACTTAAGATCAGGAAAGCATTAAGAAAGTTCATTAAGAAAGCATATGTCCTGGTTTTCTCTCATATCTCTAGATAGTCTTTTCATGTTTCTGTTTAGATGGCCACAGATTTTTGTTCTGTGTAGGTTTGTTCATTTTATGTGAAAAATCTCTTTACTTTCTTGCCTGCCAAAATCTACACATAACAGTTTTGGGGGTTTTTTTGTTTGTTTTTTTTTTGCCTTATACTACAAAGCAAATGGGCAGTTCTGCAGCCTGGAAAAGCAGGCAGCAGTATTACTGGCTTCAGGTGGGGACAATGCCAGCTTCCTATGAGCTCCCATAACCCTCTGTCCAAGTTACAAGAGGCTGCTCAGAGATGAAATCACGGCAGAGAAAACACAAAAAATTGGAATAGAATAGGAAAAAATACCCTGTAGTACTTAGTGGCCATCATTCACAAGCCTTCCTTTTGTGTGAGATAGAAAAAAAATCAAAGGATGGATGCTTCTGGTGTTTGTTTGCAGCCCAAATATATATGTGAAGTGGAATTGGTCTCAAGCTGCCAGCATAAATCCATTGTTTGAAAGTGATGACTTTCCAATGAAAATGAAACAGAAGTGTGACTTTTCTTACTTTGGGATAGGCTTTAATGGTCTCTCATCTGGTCCTAAAGAGACTCTTGCATTTGCATATACACAAACTCTTGTACATGCATGCATACAATCCTCAGGAAAAAAGATCAGATATTCAGATTTAGCCATGAAACCCTAATCTAGTTGTTGGTTGTTTCTGGTAGCTCTGAAAGCCTCATTTATACATACCTTTATAAATAAAAGCATTCAGCTTATTGTTAAGGGCCCCTTTATTTCGGTGGTCCAGGGGTATATATTTATTGCTCAGTGCCTTGTGTTCTCCACTGGTAATTATATTAGCCTTGTATAATCTTTGGAAACGAGCAGTGAATCCTAATGAAGCAGCCTCGTCAGTGCGAAGTAGAATTAATGCTGTTCTTTTACTAATTGCTCCAGAGACATCCTCAGCTTGTATGTGAGAAAACAAGTAAAACCAGAATTCTGGTGTTCAAGAGGAAGATTTTTGTGTTCTCATTGCACATTTCCATTTTCTACTGAAGATTTTATGAGAAGGTTGAAGGATGAATTAAGGCATACCGAGCATGACTAAAGGAGAGTGACAGTGGTAAATGATCTGGTAGATCTGTGCAAGAGACTGTGAGAGATGTGATCTTGTGATGGGTTCAGGTACACATCTGAATGGGAGGATGCAGAAGTGCCTCTGAACTTCAGTCTTATTTAAGATATATATATATATATATATCTTTGTATGTATGTGTATGTGTACATATAGATATGTATTTAATAGAAGTATATTTATTTTGTACAAATATAACTGAAAACATAATATTATAAAATCACTGTAAGCATAGTCAGGAGAGAAAAAAAAAGAGAGAAATATTTTAAATGAAAAAAGTTGTGGAAAGAAAAACTTCCTTTGAGTCTGATCAACTTCTTGCTGAGAACTTATCCCAAAGTTGTTCAATATAGGCATAAAGACTGACCTGAGGAGTTTGCCAAAAGACTTAAAGCAGGTTGTAGAAATGGAAAAGAAAGAATCCTCACCTCTGAAAGCGTTTGAGAACCCTCTCAAACATTTATCTGCCTGTGCCAAGGCAAAGATTGGCCCTTTCCTCAGTAAGAAACACACATAAAAGAGTAGGCCCAAAATAAACAAGTAAGAGGAAATTTAATTTTGGGGAGAATGAGTAAGGAAAAATGAATTTTAAAGATGACAGGAAGAGAGAATTGCCTCTAGCAAGCATAAATCACATAACCTTGGCATGTTCTTTTCAAGGCTCTGGTACTATGGGGATAGGACAGTACAGACACATGAACAGAGCCAAGAACAGACTGCAAAGCAGCCACTGGGAGTGATGCCACTGCTGCTGCAGAAGTGTGCTTGATAGCTTTGTCCCTCACCCTCTCCCCTGGTCTTGATGAAGCTGCCACCATGAGGAACTTCCCTATCATAGGTATGCGGCATACAGAAATACCTTCCAGGCTTTCTCTAGCTTTTCCCTTGTTGGAGTAAAGCAACATGTCTCTCTTAATGACTAAGTGATTTCTTCATAGCACAAAACAGGCAGACCTAGGTGAAAAATACGATTCTTAGCTGTTCTGATAAAGTTGATTCACTGCTCTGCATTTCTTCTTGGCCGGTTATCTGCTGGTCATCTTTCTACTGGTTTTCAAATACTATTATTAGACAACCTTTATGGACAGAGTTTCTTTCATCCTTTAATTTGCCAGGATCCACACACAGGCATTTAAGGGCAACAGTTGCTGCCCCCTTATTTGGTAGAAACGGAAAGAGGAACTGAATAATCATCTGGGACCAAATTTAGTGAAACCACTGGGCTTAAGTCCCCAAATTATCATAAAACCTTTAATGGCCAAAAGTGGCAAGAAGACTGGTCAAATCTTACTTAATAGACTGCTCTTCCCCAGCAGTGGAGAGGAGTACCTAGCACACAGAAGTAGCAGGAAATCTTCTCATCTTTAAAGCCTCAGGGCTATGTGGGGAGTTCGTGCAGAGCTGTGCTTTTCAAGGCTAAGCACGCTTTGCCTAGGTTCTCCAAACTCAACCTCAACCTCAGATGCACACATGGTGCAGAAGAACAGCAAAGGATTTCAGAGTCTTGTTGGGAACAACTTTTCTTCCACTGGTAGCATAGGAAACTTAGTCAGCTCTTCCACTAGCCCAGGATTCCCAGGCACGCCCCCTTCCTCCATGCAGTAGTTGTGCAGCGGCAGGATTTGAGGATTTTAATGAGCAATTCTAGGAGCCCTTCTGGAGCAGTATTTGCTGCTGTACATTCAGAACTTCCTAGCACCCCATCTTCAACATGTACTTACCACACTCAGTGGCTGGAAAGTGCCGGAACTGGTGTGCATGCTGACGCTCCCGTGTAACACAAACACTTCAGAAGTGCCACATACGATCAGGCTTTCTGTGCAGTGACTGAAAGTGTATTTGTCTCCCCCAGACTGAAAAGGAAATATGGCAACTCTACGCATAGCAAAATGATTTATATGGAAGACGTAAGGGCTAACCTGCTGGTCGTACATCTGATGTGCAGCAAATGTTGTAGCATCTACAACTATCTTTTAAGTAATTTATTGTCATCAACAGTGTGAAGGCTTCTTTGTCTAACATCTCTTTTGTTGATTCTGGCATAGTTAACCATGCACAGCGCTGAGTGGTCAGAATCCTGTTGGGAACCACCATCTTGCAAGATTGCATGCTATTCTCTTGAGTATGGGGAAAAGTCATCCAAAAGAGATTAATCAGGCTTGCACACTTGGCTTCACATAGCTTGCTTCTCTTCTCTCATATCAGGGCTTTGTGCAATGATTCAAGACCGCACCAATATTCCACTGAGAAGATACCTGTCACTGATTCCTTGTTTATCTTTCCCCTGTCCAGCTTCCTATTCATCTACACATGTCTATGATGTCTGATGGATGGATATTCCATGCTGGTGTTCTCTCATTTACTGTAGATGACGATAATTCAGTTTCCAACAGCATGACTGGAGCCAATGGATTTGAGCAAGGCCCCATTTGCTCAGAATACCCACTGCTCTGACAGCTCAGTAAAACTTGCAGTACAGGGCTTGTTGTCTCCATTACTGATGTCACTGAAGAAATACTGATATGCCTTCAAGTGAATGGATCGAACTCTCCTGTTATTGCAGTCATTCTCCTTTTAGTCGTTTTTTTTTAATCAGACAAGTAGAATTCCCATGAAGGTGAAGGGCAGACAAAGTAGATTTAATGTCTCTGGTTTATTTTCAAGGCTCCGTTAGACGTGAGGGGTCATATTCAGACAGGTTCAAGAACTTGGGTGAAACAGAGTCTGTATGAATAAAGCCTTATGTTAAAAATAATGGACAGGATTTTTAACAGATGTCCGATGGAGTCACCCCTGCACTGATACCAGTGCTAATAAGTGGCTGTGAAAGATTTCTTCAAATACAAGCAGAAACTACAGCCTCATACCTTTATTGTGAGCAGTGGAAACCAGACTGTACTCATCTAATTCATAATAGAGTATGTGGTTACTCAGCATGCATTTCAGTCACTGAGGATAATTAAGCTAGACTTGTTCTCCTGTGCTACTCCAGAGCTGCAGTGCCTGTGTCACAACCCTACATGGTGAATGCTTGCACTGGAAGGGAAAAGAAATTTTTTCATTCTAGTTAGAAGAAAGATGGAATGATTCCTGTTTGCTCCATGCTTGAATCAATTGACTTGTTATCCTCGCTCCGAACACAAAATACACTCTAATCTTCAGGATCACGGAAAGTGGCAAACCCAGTTGATAATTCCCGTTATTCTTTAGTCAGAAGCAAGAGATACTTGCAGCTGGGGTCTGTTTGAAGGATGTTTCCCCCTACATAATACACAGAATGAAGGGATGTCCAGACACCACCAGCACTGTGAGACGACAACATTAATTGAAATACATGAGTAAAGGATCAAAACCAACATGGGCAGATCTGCACATTTCAAAATAGAGAAGTGCAGATCATCTCAGCCTAGTCTTTGTAGATCAGAGGCAGCCCTAGAAGTAAAACTGCCTGTAGCACAAGCGTATGGAAACATTTTGTTACTACAAATCCCAGAGGAGCCTTCTTCTCTGAGTTCTATACAATTTACTCTTGACTGTTTGTTTCATTTACCTTTTATTGAAGATGGTGTGTTCTTTTATGTAGGATACAAAGAGAAAATATACATAGCTAAAGCGTACGAAAGAAAATAAAGCAGTAGCTTGGAGACCTTCCTATGCTTGAACAGAAAATCCTGAAAATCTTCTTTTGCACTGTGTAGAAGGCAGCCTGGTTTGGAGGAGAGAGCAGTATCCTGTAGCTTGGCAATCCCATGAGTTAGATTTCAGCCTTGGTAGAGCTATTAAGAATTTCTGCCTTCAGGAGAGACAAGGCGCCTGGTGGATATGGTGTTACACTAAAAGCCAGAAGGCTTGGGTTCTGTTCTCTGCAAGTCTCATGCTCTACAACATGAACAGACCGCTTTCTTTGGCGCCTCTTTTTCACCTTTGTCTCGCCCATCTGAAGCAAGGGAAAACTGACTGTCCTTGTACTGGCACGTGCTTTGTCCTATGTTTCTAGCATGCCAGAAACACTCATATCAAGTGGATGCTGTGGATGAAATGAAGCTGTGACTAGTACTGAAAGAAGATTAATGCCAAACCTGAGCTTGGCCCCGTTCATGGCCTTTTTCTACCTTAACTGTCCTTAATCATTTTCAAGCAGTGTTAGCACTTGGAAGTCCTAGTTGCAACCTTCTGCACCATGGCTAGTAGATATGCATATTAGTTCAGGTGATAGCCAGAAGAGACCAGAGGGAGGAAGGAATAATGGGAGCAAGGAGAGAGATAGTTTAATACTGAGGAGAACCAGGTGGAAAAGGGCTTTAAAAATCTGATGCAGCTCAGGAGAGTGATGACCTTTGAAATTTGGAGAGCAAAGGCTTACTTGGTAAGCTTTCTGAAGTCGAAGGAAGCTTCTGGCCCTCAGTTCATTTACCATATTGCAGCAAGAAGTGTGAACTGAAATAACAAGAGGCCAATCTGTGCACAAGCCCTGCCTACAGAGCTAAATGTCAGGGGTATTCCAGCCTGGAAAGGGCTTGTTCTAATAGGGTAATACATATTTCCTCTTTTTTTTTTTTTGTTTTTAGCATGCGCAGTGGCTATTTCCCACCACCACCCCCATCTGGGGAACTTCAAGCCCTTCCTCTACTTCCGCTCCCTTCTAAAAAAATTTCGTAGTGTAACTCCAAAAATCACCAGCCATTGAGTCCTGGCAGTACACTGAGGTGTCATTTGCTTGTGGACCTCTCATTAATTTCCTGTGGAAGTCAGGGGAGTCTTTGCCTGAGAGGTAAACTGTGTGAGCCAAGAAACAAGACTAGAGTGAAAAAGGTTAAAGTTCAGTGCGTGAGTCCAGAGAAAAGTGCCTGCTAAGTCTTCTGTAAAAGAATACGTTAATCCTAACGACCTTCTGCCCTTTATCATTTTTTCCTTCTATACCCTTTGTTTTTCCAGACTGCTCCTGTTCATTATGCAAACTCTGTATCTTTTCTAACTTTCCATGCAATGTAATTTTTATCACCAAATGTTTTGCACATTACAAAGCTGTAAGAAATATGGCACATAGTAATTGCACTGCAGTAGCTGAGAAAAATCAGGAATCTCTGAGTTTTTGTTCCGGCAGTGATGACGGTGAGTCACTCTGTAACTTCAGACACTGAACTGCTCTCTCCCTGCTTACACGCCTGTTGAGCAGGAGATATCGTGCTTACCTCACAGGGTAGTTTTGGAGGATTAGGGCTTTAAAGCTTTGAAGTGTGACACAAGCCTCGTTAAGCATTGTTTAATGTGTTTATTAAGGGGCATGTACAGCCCTGGGGTATTTTTGTGAGGCTCAGAAGTGTTGCAAAACAGCAGTTCTTTTTCTGAAGACGATGCTGATGCAAGCATTGTAGACCTGTTCATCACATGAGGAAAGGGGTAAATCCAGTGCACACTCCTCTTTTGTGTTGAATAGCAACCTCAGCACTTGCTCGCCCAGGCAGATCTTCATCTTACTGCCGTGAAAATTAACACCAGGGCCTCTCTTTCTTCTGTTGTAGATCCTGGCGCTCCTGTGAAACTGCCTTGTATGCCAGTTAAACTGTCACCTCCACTACCTCCAAAGAAAGTCATGATTTGCATGCCTTTAGGGGGGCCAGACCTCTCTCTCTCATCCTATTCCACACAGAAGAGCTCCCAGCAGCCTTTGACTCAGCACCATCACACTGTCCTGCCATCCCAGTTAGCAGCTCACCAGCACCAGCTCCAGTACGGCAGCCACAGCCAGCACCTGCCTTCTGGGTCCAGCACATTACCCCTTCACCCTTCGGGGTGCCGGATGATAGAGGAATTGAACAAAACGCTAGCCATGACCATGCAAAGGCTAGAAAGGTAAAGGACAAACTTTTAAAATTAAATATCGGTGTGCACTGTTTCTTACTAGCCTCTATATCGATAGCACCACTTGAGTTATGTTGATGATACTAGGCACTTAAACCCGGCCTCTCCTCTGGGGGGTCTAAAAACTTACAAAAAGCAGAGTTACTGCTGGAGAAACATATCCAAAGAAAGGAAAGAGCCTTTCCAGGCTTGTTTGGCACAGAAGAAGATCAAGTTTCCTGAATGCTGTTGTCCTGCTCAAGGAGCTAGGTAGTACCACTGGTGGAGATGGTAGTAGGACATGCCCAGCTTGCAGTATATACAGCGGAGTGTATAGCCACAGAGTTCCAGTTCCATGCAGGAACCCCCAAAAAAGGAGAGAAAGTGGGAGATTCAGAAAAAAGAACAATAAAAGCCCCATGTGCCGCACTACCAGGGCATATGGTTAGCATTACTGATGAGCTCGTAACAGCTTTTGAGAACTCCTGCAAGTTACTTAGAGCAGTTTTAATGTACTCTTTAATTATTTCAATTCATTCAAGTTAAATAATATGTTTAATTATTTTAAAATAAGTATTTAGATCAGATAAATAACTGCACTGAAGCTGTAAGCAAAAATGACTCTTTAAGTGCCTATGTATGCTTATAAATATATGCAAATAAACACACTCCAGTATAGTCAGACTGCCTTTGCTGTTTAGTAATAGTTTCACTTTAGTTTCCACAAAGGTCACACTGAACATTAGACCCATTCCACAGCAGCTACCTTCTTATCCAATCACATCTGGAGGAAGGTTATACGTTTAATCAGAAGTGCCTTACCCACCTTGGGGCTGTTTTTTATAACCGTCTCTTGTGAATATTTCTGGCTGATGTTTCAGATAGTCTGAATAAGTGAAGCATGTTGTAGAAATGTAAGCTGTCCTCATAAACTGCAAGATCAGCAAACTCTGGAAAATTTATTTTGACTTGCAGACCACAGCTGAGCAAGTCCAAGAGTAGGGAACATCATAGTCAAAAATGACATGTTCTATTTAGGACCAAGGGCAGCTTTGTAACCAGCTTACTCTAGGAGCATCAGATCATCCTTCTTTTAGACAGGAGGCTAAATTATCTGTTCTAAGAGAAAAAATGCGTAATGATTTGCCCCAATACTTCTTTGTGATAATGTTACCTTCATTATATTGCTCAGTTTAAAAAAAAAATTCTTTTGGGAATGGCGGACTCTTTTTACTGCCAATAAAAATAGTTATGTGACCAGCAGCTGTCCCATCCTACTAGCGCATTTTAGTAGCAGGGTATCAAGAAAAACCTCTGGGGTTATATCAGGTGGCCTTATATTTCTGCAGCATCAGGGAATTCTCTGTTGGCTGAAATGAGAGGGATCCTATTGCCATCCATAAAAATGCTGTAGCAGTAGGCTTGGAAGGAGCATCCGCAATCCCTCCTGCGTGCCCCATCCCCGAAAACTACCCAGTTACCTCTTGCATTGCCAGCGGGGCTGGTCGGATTTATCTGCATTGATGCCCTGAGCACAGAGGATAGTCCGTGCCTCCAAAAGGCTCCTCGGGGGCAGCACCACTCATGCCATCGCCAGCATAGGTGGGGGTGTTAACCGTACAGTCTGGCTCCTGCTGCATGCAAAAGGCACTTTGTTATTCTGAGCCCAGCGATGTTCCTCAGAGTATGACTTCATTGTGGCATCTGTTGCCCCCCAGCAATGAATGCTCCATTTTCTAGGCTTCCATCAAGTTTATGCGTACAAATATGTTTAACCGATTTAAAGAAGGTGATGCTGTTTGGTTTTAACTATTAATTTGAAGCTGAAGCTGTGCTGATTTTAAAAGCTGAATAAGCAAGTGTTCATTTCCCAAAATGAAGCAATTACCTGCCTTTGCAAAAGAGAATAAGAAAGGGCTGTGGCACTGGTATTTCACATTTAAAATGAAAATGAATCCTAGTGCACGGCATTGCACAGTTGATTTTTCATTACCCTTTTTGGGTTGATTAGCTATTATTCCAATCATGAAACGAAGTATTGAGTACTTCAGTTATTCTCCTTGTCAAAATAAATCAATAATATTTGCAGTCACAAGAGAGAAAATAGTTGATGACTATTTCCTCTGCAAAAGCAATTATTTCTATAGTATGTACTGGTAGTGCACAAAAAGGTCTGTGGAGCTGATACTTCTGTTAAATTCTTAAATTGATTTTCCAAGCTACACTGTGATCTTAGTAAATTTGTAGCTGCTCTTGAAGATTTGTGCAGATTTTAAAAATATGTTATTTAACTTGGGAGGGGTTTAGTTGTGCCAAATACTACTGTTTTCTAGTATTTTTGATAGTGGTTCTTTTTCTTTAGTTGTATAAAATCTGGCTTAAACCCAGGGGAAATCGTACTGCAGTATTTGTCATTGGACATTTTGGCTTAAAAGTCTTGAAGGCCTTTAAAGTTGCACAGATCTTAAATCTGTTTTCCCCTACCTGAAATTCGGTAACGTGCTCGCATCCCTCACATGCATAGGGAACGGAGTGACGTCCTAAGCTTTACTGTTTCTTCCCAGATGGCATGCTACTTGGTCACTGCTGTTGGATCAATAGTCTTGAGGAGATGAGAGATCCTGACATGTCTCCGAGGCAGCCTCTGGGGAACGCTAAACGCATTGATGTCATTCATTTCTGCCGATCTCACTGCTTATCTCAAAGAAATCCTATAATATTCTAGAATAATTGCCTCAATACTGCAGTAGTAATGCTGCCAAGTGTTATTTAGAGTAGTATAATATTACTTAGAATTCTATTTTGTTTTTAATAAGGCAAGATGGTGTAGACAAGTGCCAATCAATTTTCTGCTCTCAATTTCTTTCTTTTCTTTTCCAGAGGAAAATTATTTTTTTCTTCTCGGTGTCTAGTCTCTTTGCTCCTGATGCAGTGGAATCTCCTCTAGTCTGTTAAACTCCACTGGTGTGCATTGAATCCATAACTACTCTATATCAATTCCACATTTAGCCCAGTAAACCTTTCGTAGACCTCAACACTCATCCTTCCACCAGGTTCATGAAGGAGGAAAGGAGTAAGGAATGAAAGAAGAAAATAACCCGTTCCTGGTAACCTCGTAATCTGTAACCTGGATTTTTTGCTTTAGAAATCCAGTCTCTAATAGTCTAACAACATCTGAAGACTAATACATGAAGTCAGTGCTTTGCCAAGGAGCCAGAAGCTTTCCAAAGAAAAATGAGCTGTCCCTCTGTACCAGAATGGAAGCCAGAAGTTATTTTGCTTTGGGTGACCTTGATAAAGCTACTGAACTTCTCTACCTCTGTTTTCCCTCCCTGTAGGAGCCGTTATAAATTACTGCCTCACATAGATCTAATGAATATTAATAAGTTAATGTTTTAAGGTATATTAAAAGCATATAGTTATTCTTCAAGTCCCAATTGCTCTTATCACTAACATTGAGTTAATTCCTGCATCTTTTACTCAGTTCTGTTATAGACACTATAGAACATTAAGTTCATTTGCACACTTAATTGCAAAAAATTTCTGGCACTCGCAACATCTATTTGTTACCTGTTCTCAGACGGGTGTCTTTATCCCTTATCATAATAAGATTATGATTTGTCATTTGTCCTGCTAGTTTGCCTTCATTTTCCCTGAGAAATCACCAGCTTTCTGATAGATTAAATTGCAACAGAGAGGAGTGTAATTTCCGCGTTACCTTTCTTCTGCAATCTCTGTGGCTAATTTGACTCCAAACTGCAAACAGCTTTCAACTTTTACCCAAAGGATATGGGTCAAGCACAAATAAAATAAAACTCTAGATTCGGGAATCATTTTTTTACCATTTTAGAATGCGTTTTTAAGGCTAGTGCAAATCTAATAACCGCTGCCACCAAAATCCACAGAGGGCTTGATTCTCCTGATTTAATTAAACTTGAGAGGATTGAAGCCTGCAAAACCATGCCCAAAAGCAGCGCGTCACAAGCTGCAGAAAAAAAAGCTTCAGAAAACACTCTTGTGCCACTGTAATATATTTTTAATTTTGACTTAGAGGGGCAGCTTCTTGATCTGATATAGTCTTATTTTCTACCTTGCCCGTGCAGTTCTTGGTCTTTCTGGTAAGATGACAATTAATTTCAATTATTCTGTGCACACTTGTACACTAACAGCTGAATCAAGGCCACAGTTTTGTGCAATGTGCAATACTAAAGAGCTGTTAAGTGGCAATATCTCACTCTTGGCTAGAATTAAATCTGTGACAGAGCAGTGAAAAATCTGTGTCCAAAAGACAGTTTGTGAGACCAGTTCCTCTGGGACATCCATTCACTTCAGGCTGTAGATTTATGAAATGAAATGCATTAGACATTCCTGCCATTGTCTTGTAAATCTTACAAAACGTATTTGAATCAGAAAACATTTATATTCCATAAAACTTGTGAGGAGAATTGCTTTTTGTCTAAACTTTAGCATTGCCTAAGGAGAGAAGCATTTAATACTTATAGCTATGCCTTTTCTCTCTCTCTCTCTCTCTCTCTCTCTCTCTCTCTCTCTCTCTCT